TGAAGCATCCATTCCCCGGGCCTCGGCCCCTGCCTCGACAGGATGTCTGCTACCACATTGAGATGCCCAGGAATGTGCACTGCTCTCAGCGAGGATCTGGTGTGCCAATTTGTACAAACGGCACGAGCGCAGACCTTCCTGGTGGTTTATGTATGCGACCACCGCTGTGTAGCGTGAGCCTTAGACATAGCTGCTTATTAGACTTTTTCTCACAATAGACAGACAACAATAAATATGACTGACACACATAGAGCGCTTCGCTGAATGACAGAAAGCTGACGCGGGCTCTGCCGCACGTGCTTTTATAGCTTCCTGGTCATGACGTCACCCGTCCGTGATGTCCCGTTCAGCTATTGGACTGATTTCACATGTGATTCAGAGCGTGGGTCGCAGAAGGCGTTCCCCTAGCGTTTTCGACGCAGCTCGAGTTCCTGAAGAGGAACAATAAATAAACAAATAAATAAATGAATGAATGACAAAAAAAAACCTTCAGATTTAAAAATATCACACATAACCCCGCAAGGTATGATTTTCCCTAATACAAAAATGTAACATTCCTTAAACTGTGACATTTATAACAATTTCAACCAGTAAAAAATCTCTAATTTTCTTAATTTCTTCAAAATTATAGTGTAGACTGAATTCCTTATTTTCAAAAATTTAGCTCAGCGACCCAAGTTTTTGTAAGAAACTCTCAAATTTTCAAACAACTTTCAAGTTTATCAATAACTATAAACTAACATTTGGTACTAGATATCCCCTTTTGAGTCCATTTGAAATTTGCAGTCTAGTTATACTTGCAACCTTGTTACTCATTCTGCCTTATTTTATACCCTATTCTTGGAATGTGACAAATTATGCCAAGGCATTTTGGTATTTCAGTAGAATTACTGTTTGCTAAAAATCCTCGCCTTTTGTTTAAATATCTACATTTTCCTGTAGGTTTGCCTATGCAACAGATTAAAAAATAAAAACAAAAAACTTAAAAAGTTAGATGAATTATACACAGAAATGAGGCTTCCGATTTTCCTAATGTTACTGGAAACCCTTTCCTCTTTATTGCTACTTTAATCTCAGTCATAAAAGTGTCTGCTCATGTGCTGTAACCCCTGCAGGTAAGTAACGTAGCAGCTCTCTTTTCCTCAGGCCAACCTCCCCTGAGACAGAGACCACCGGCAGGTGTGTGAGAAAGGAAGAGACTCTATCTGTGACACATACATCTGAGAAACATTTGCTGGCCTGACAGCACTGATCCCACTTCTATTTCTCACACACTACAATATCTCCGATTAAATATTAACCTACGATAAGACTATTTTTTTTCTCAATTTCCCCATTAAAGGCATTTAACGTGTTCCAGCCTGACAGCCGTATATAAAACAGTAGCTTTATTTCCCAGACAAAGGCGCCGTTGCCAGTAAGCAGCTGTGGTCTAGGTGTTTAGTCTGTGCGTTTAGGTCTGGTCTTTGTAGTGGTTAGACACCATGGCGTAATTTCCACATTCCCGTCAGCAGGGGGTGGGGGAGGGGATTATGGAAAACCGGAAGTCTCATTTCTCCTTTAATGAAATTAATGATGCCTCCATGTGCTTACTGTTGAGTTACTTCCCTTATGGAAATAATCACAAAACAAGCAACAACAACCGCAGTGGGGAAGAGAGAGGGATAAAAAAGAGAGATGGAAAAAGGGCTTATGTGGTGAGGCCCTTGAAGGCTTTTGGGGCCTCGTTCGGGGAAAGTAAATGAAGGCGCAGATATTTGATACGTAGATGAACAGAACTTGGGAGGATACGAATTTCAGTCTTTGGCTGTGAGAGATGAGATGATCTATGGCTGAGAAAATAAATAAATTGAGCTCAAAATTAATTCTTAATACAGAATATAAGATTTGCTCAGAGCAAATTGGAGAAGGAAGTATTAACAGGCAGTGTGCTCTCCCACACTCCCACTGTTTTTCTGGTCAGAGGAACACGCAGCAGAATTATTGAGTGCTCAAGGCAGAGAACATCACACATACACACACTTTTGCCACCCACAGCCATACAGAGACTCAGAGAGGCAGCTGCTTGTGATTACTTGTGTTTACAATGAGCATCAGGCATCTGCTGCATGTAATCCAAAACACACACACACACACACAACAGAGAGAGAGTCTGTGGAAAAAACATGTGCACAAAAACACATACACATTATTAAAGCACAAACATACAAACAAAATCTGTGTATGGTCATTTTACTGAAAATACACTCATATTAGGGAGACATGTCAATGTGAGTCAATATTATTATTTTAATCAACTAATTAACTAAGACAAATATATCATTTGTGTAC